ATTTAATATTTCTGGCTTATTGTAATTTTCCATAGCGCAAAGTCTCGTGACCCTGGAGACCTAACAGAGAGAATCCGCGTGTTCTCGCTTCTCGGGAACTCGTGTATCGTCGCGTGTATTGTAACGTGTTCGTCTCGCTTCTCGAGAGTTCACGTATCGTTTTGCATTTCGTATTTCGTATCTGGTATGTTGTATATTATATTTTGTATTTCGTCAATGGAATCTTGTTAAGATTATTATTTCACTTGTTTCGGAATTTCGTACTTGTTAACTATTGCATTCTAAGTTTGTCCTGAATAAAAGGACCGTTGTTATTGTTTTCTATATCGGGTTCTCACTCTTCTTTCCTGGCTACCTTACCAACACCTTGGCGTTCCCTGCCCCTCTGCCATTCCCTCATCTGAGTTAGTTCGGTTGCCGTACTCTATTCTTTTCGGGGATTTTCGTAGTCTCGTTACGTGACGCAACGGTGCGTCTGGCGCCCAGTCGGTGACTTTCGGTATCGCGTCCCGGGGGAATAGAGCATTATATTTGTGGCGTAAAACGCGTCGGGATAGCTGCGTCTCGGCGAGTAGACTTTGGGGTTAGATTACGCTTTAGTCTCAGTTTTATAGCACTGGCGAATAAGTTGAAGTATAAAAATTGCGTCACAATATATATATATAATATAGATACTTTCGCGTGACTCGATTCCGCAGGGCAGTCGGAGCGTTTTTCACCGGTAAAACGTTGGACCTCTGCGCCACTTCGAATCGATATAACTCAAACGGGTTCCTGGAATTTCCCATTAGACCAGTTAAGACCTGGACTAGGGGGTTCCCTGCGCTCCTTCAAGCACCATGAACCTTAGGGCTGCTAAGGGATCGCGCTTCGTTCGGATGAGCTCCGAGATAAATTTTTCCCGTAAACCGTTGACTAATTTCCGTGCCCGAACCCGGCCGTTCCTTCTCTCACCTTTGAGTTACGAGACCTATCCTGACCGAGCAGCAAGCGGCATGGCGCACCTTCAGGCCTTCAGACCTTCAGACCTTAAGCCCTTTTGATCATATCCAATATATTACTACAGGATGTTGGAAACAGCGTGAAGTAAGTAGATGCCCGGAGTAAGGACACACTTTTCTATTCCATTCGTCTAAGCGGTACGCACTCTCCTCTATAGGCAACCCGACTGCTTTTCGTTATCCTTGCGAAATTATTGCAAAATCCACGGGTCGCAGATCCTACGAAAAACTTTATCAAAGACCGTCCTGGTTCGCACTTGCTTTTGAGTTTCATTAAACTGCCCTTTGATCTAATGTAATTAACAGACTAACAACCTCTGGGAAATCATAAAAGTCTCAACAATCCAAACAAGCAGGTACGCTTTATCCTCTAAACCTCCGCGAAGTCCAAAAAGTCACGTACGCGAATATTTCAATCAATAATAACAAACATAACTTTGTATTACACTCGTTAACAGACTTGATCAAGAATGCCAATTTCTTCTCTCTATGGTTATAGGTGAGCGAAATATTCTCTCTACGTTCCTGTATGTATATCAACGACCGTAATTCCGGCATCTCGTCGTAACTTCAATCGAGTCAGGAATCCCGCGTATCTATGCATGCCGTTATTCACAATTAGTTCGAACATCCAATTAAGAAGAATCGATTGACGAAAATCAAGAGGATGCGATGTAGTCGACCGTAGCGCTTGCGCCGCTCTAATCGAGTCAAAGTGCGCGGGCCCTCGAGCGACTGGCCATCCTGAAATTCTACCTTCGGATTTTACAGGCGAATCGGCAAGGTCCTGGACGACCGCAGCGCTCTCAAGGGCCTTCACAAAAGACTCATTCGCGATTCGGCTTCGAAATTGTGTACATAGAAACGACGCAAAGTTACGTCTGGGATGCTGCATGCATCGGTGTCTATGTAAACCTACGTATACAGACGTTCCCCGGTAACTGCGACCATGTGTCAATTTACATAGCGTGCCAGAAGGAAGACCTATTACCTTGCCTTATGCATATATATGTATATATATATATATATATATATATATACACATATATACTTTATATAAATCTCTATGTACAGAAGTTTTAACCGTGCAAGGAATATATATAATTATACGTTACGCACGATGTCAAATCCTGTAACGTCCGATATAAATTCATTTCGCCCTGCATACTTGCCGGCTGAACGTAACTCTCGGCTCGATGAATTACAAATGTTACGTTGGCGTAGTGCGTCCGTTAAATTTCCATAGGCAGCCGCACCAGCGAAACGGAGAGAAACCAACGTTAACTCCACCGAGTTGGCTTTACATAGGCGCTAATTCGTTATCAGGCTTGGTGAACGTCCAGACTCGTTGCGAGTTAACATTTACCATACAACTGCGGCAGGTTTAGATCAAAGCTCTTCGGGATGAACAATTATAGTGCGAATAATATGTAACGTAACGGAAGCTTGCTTAAGAACGATCGATCTATATAATTATTCTAAACGTACAGCCAAATATTCGTATTATCGAGTCCGTAAACGATGAGCAAGAGGGCTTTTTTTTTCCTAGATTTTCATCATTTCATATCATTATTTCATAATCATGCACGCATGTACACACACTCGTTCATCGTGCATACGCTCTTTCGTACTCTCACAATCTACATATACATACAATATCATTGCCAACGCTCCAATGTGCACGCAATTCGGATCCACAGAGTCGCAGGTATATCTATATATATATGATAACCTTAAAGGTGCACACACAACGTTAGTTTTCTTCACGTGTCGTATTTGCCGTGTGAAAATTATTACAATGATCTCCTGTCGCCGGAATAAAGATCAATAATGCGTCATCGACGTAACACGGGTACGCCTTGTTGCTCGAGCCGATGTATCGATAACACTAGCGCTATAGGACACCGTCAAGCGAAAAAATTGTTTCAAGTTAATAATAAGCCATCGAGACACTTCGGTGAGGCAATGAGTAATCAGCCACAAGTACAGCACTTTGGCGTGTTAACCCCCGTGCAGTAGAAAAAAATAAACACTAGTAAGGGTTAGAGTCCAAGTTATCATCAGATGTATAGAGTTTTAAACGAGGGAGCATTGGACATAAAGGAGCATTAGGACGCTCATTACCTTTGTCCTTAATGCTGAGAGAGAGAGAGAGAGAGAGAGAGAGAGAGAGAGAGAGAGAGAGACTAGAAGCGTCTGCGCACAGCCAGTTAATCGCTCGAGCGAACCTCAACGCTGTCCGTCTGCTAGGTACAAGGTAATTCGACCTAAACCTCCCAACTAACGAGATGGTTACCTTCCACGTCGAACTAGCATGCCCGCTAGGTTCGGTACGAAGAACTACAAAACGTCGATATAGCTTGTCTAACCTTAGTTTCTCTCTGCACTATAGTCCGTCTCTCTCTCTATATACCGATATATATATATCTCTGTATACCACAGGGAACCGACCTTCCTCGACTACCTCTTCGGTAAGCTACGTTCACTCCGCATGTTCAGGAACCACCAAGTTAAGGACATTGACGTAACGTCGAACGACGTCCAATATCCGTACCAGACAACCTAAGTTTCCTGTAGGTCAGTATAGGACTACATATGTGAACCTCCTATGCGCCAGCGGCCTCACGAGGATCCACCGTAATGTAAACGCACTGTGTATGAAATTAGTAGCGTTCCGAGTACGCTGCTCTCGATGCTATTAACTAGGTATAACGAGATGGAAACAGAAGCCAGGTATCTCGCAGGTGCTGCATGGAGCTGACGTCATCATTATTATAGGTATGTAGCTGCTATTCGGTTAATCGGATTCGAAGCAAAGTTCATTTCGAAACAATTTTGATACGTCAGTAGCTGCCTGACGCACCCTTTGCGGTGCATGGGAACGTTACGAGTTTAACCACAGCCTCTCGAAATCTTACGGTATCCGTAACCAACGTCGGCCTCCCTTATTTTCTCGTGCACAATATTGTCGAGCAGATCGTTGACGCCGATTGTCGCACGTACGATTGCGAAATTTTGGAAATGTGTTAGATACCATTATATACTTTGTATAACTTACTCATGTAGTTAGATTGTAATATATATGTACATGTACTGTATGGTTTTACTCTCGAATTATGTATCTGCGTACGTTAATTCTACTTACTACTGTATGTATAGGTACGTGATATATGATCCTCTCTCGTGAAACGTGTCATACCTGTTTTCAGCGTATATCCGAAACTTTCGACTGTTTCGAACTGTTCGAGGATACCTTGAAAGCGTAACGTTTCCCGTGGATCGTGTTAATCGTAAATTTTCCTATGTAGCAGCGTGTATGATGATAAATATATATATCCCTCGAGAAAAATAAAAGTAGAAAAAAAAGAGAAGAACTTCCAAGAGGTACGTTGTATTTAAAATCGGAAAGTGAAAAAGTGTGTCGGCGCTTAGAAAGTTCGTACAGACTATGATTTACAGGATGCAGCATATGGTTGGCTGGAAACGAATTCGTGCTGCGATTCTTTCAGTGTTTAAGGGCGAATACAGAAAGTGCGGTTTTATCGCTCGTAGCAAAAAAGAATTATTAAAAAAACTGAACTAAGGGTTGCAATACCGAAGCTAGCGTGTTTTCTTTACATATGCTGGGTACCGCTTCGTGCAATTCTTCCGGCTCTATAGCCATGACTTTCCTCATGCGAATGTGGCGCCACAAACGGAATATATATGTAGTACGCATATACGAACACACGTAACGTATACGTACACGAGGAGCATATGTTGACAAGAGTAACACTGAAGGATCCTTTGACGTAGCAAACTGGACCAGTCATGTCGGATTGACCAATGGCAAGGTAGTATCTTTGGGGATGGTCGGCCAGGTGAAGAGGTCAGACTGTTTAGTGAATCACGTGGCATTCGATGTCATCTCACGTCTTTCCAAGACGAAAGTCTCGAGCAAGTGAAGTTGCCGGGCGCATAGGACAGCACTTTCGAGAAGGTTCGAGAGTTCAAGTTGAAGCTAATGAGAAAGTAGAACAAGGGTGCCGGATATACGACGTATATTAAATCAAGGATGTTCTTCGGGAGTAGACTAACTAGCTTGAGCCTTGGGGTGTCCTTATGAGCTTGAGGGTGGAAATGCACGTTTGGTCTTTATGGTTTGAAAATCTGTGGAGTGCAGTATGAGCTAGTGGAACCTCCTGGTGCACGGGGGCGAAGGGGGGTGGGAGGGAGGGAAGTGTCTTTGACGAGATGAGGGGTCACGAACCAGCGCTGAAGTGACTCGAGGGCTTATCGCTTGATGTTGGGTCGGGGAGACCATGTTAATCGACGTTTGTTATCGTTAACAATAATATAACAAATGGAACATACAAAACGTTTGAAAGTCCTAGTAATCGATTTCATGCGTTCCGTTAAACGTTTAAATATAAACCAATATAAAATCACGTAAATTTATGTCGTTCAACAATATTTCTTGACTAGTGGTAATTCCCATTCTGACGTTTCCCTCTCGCTCCAGGCGACGCAGCGGATCCGACTATCTCAGAAGCAGGTGCACCAGGCTCAGGCAGACCACGAACAGGGAGAGCATCGTTCCTGCGGGACAGCCATTCTCCGACGTAACTGCAACAAACAATGGTCGGTGTATCGCCTTAAGCGCGCTACCATCTACGCTCTGCCGATTCTAAAGTTTCGCCGTCCTGAAAAATTGCCACGGCGGAATTATCACGGCGAGTAGACCGCACTCTATACCGCAGTGCATTGCACTGTGTCCTGCCGCTTGGTACTGGTGGGTGCATAACAACCCGGCTGCACCGTGCGCCCGCCGGCAGTACATTTCTTTTCGGATCCTTTGTCCGCCCGCCAGACTCCACACAGAGGAAAAAGCGAGAGACAGAAACGCGGATAAGAAAACGAGGGCAATTTCTGTGACTTTGCGATCTCTTAGATCCCACCCCTTCGCGTTCCTTATCCAAAGTTCATTCGAGTCCGGAGTGTCTATGTGTGGTACGTACGTACGAGTGCAGCGTGCTCGCTGTGATCTTTTACTAAAACCGAGTGGCGCACATTGCGGAGGGGCCGGAGTTAAAACAAATACTTGGAAAGTTGGGCGATCGTACCGGTTAGCCGAGTGTGGACGAGCACTGCTCCTTTTGTCGGAGGAAAGTCAATTTCCTAAAAACAATTCCGCCGAGTCTGCCTATATATACACCTAACCCTGTATACACCCGGGAACCCTGCAGCATGGCCACCTATCCGGCCGTGTACGAGAGTCGCTGGCAGCGGCCGGAAGACTGGGAGAAATGAAATGAAATTACTGCAGTGTAGAACAAAGTAAATTCTTCGTAAGGATCGCGATTACGCTGTGGATAAAAAGTCTATGGGACTCGAGTACTCATATCCCGTGTACACGGGGCAGGCGTATCTGTAATGGAAACAAAAGAGAGTCTAGATATTTCTGTAAGGGCTTCCCGTGCAGGAGTATGTACGGACGATGCCGTGCAAAAGGGTGTAACGGATACGGACGTTAACATTGCTGGGTATCGATGACGGTCGATTTCTATTCAGCGCGTAAGCCGACCTGCCGATCGTTACCGTTGTGATTTCCCTATCTAGGTATAGATGCAGTACAGGGTGGGTGCTTCGCGAGAACTCCGGTCTCGATAAGATGGTGGAGCCGGTAAAGGTAGACGAGGGTGTGAGAAAGGTGGAAGTTGGGGTTGCAACTCCGCACGAAGTAGTTTACACGAGCGCAAAATGGGGCGAATAATCAGGTATGCAAAGGTCTGATAACGCGACTCGTAACGCTTGCTCTTGGTACGTCGGGTCGGCGGGGGGAGGGTGTGTACACCCCACTTCGCGAGAGAGAATGCCACTGCGCGCTCGAAGACGTTCAAATCCCTTTCTTCTTGCCCCGTCCTACACGGGAGATTAGCGACTCGGGATTCGGGTAATTCGCGACTCGAGGAGGCCAAAGTTTCCGAATGCCGTCGGAGTCGGGCTCGAAGTTTCGCGAGAGAGACCGGCGAACGTATCGAATCTTTACATCTGGCAGTTTCTCGAAGAGAGAAACGCACGAACCTCCTTGTTCGCTGACAATTTAATTTGGACGTTAACGTTCTTACGCGTACCTTGGGATCTGCTCGTATTCCCGTTGGACAAACATGCGAGCGCCAGCTGTCTACGGGTTTGGAGTAAAATGAAAGGAGGGTTGAATAGCTAAATCAAAGAGATATACGGGTGGGAGAGGATGAAGTGGTTAAGAGCAAAATAACACGAAGAGTAGCCCTATACGGAATTTCTACGTATATTCTCCTCTATACGTAAATCAGCTAATTAAATTGATCCTACGTTCGTGCGCGCGTAAGCGTAACAGCTTCTGGCGTTCCTTACTAATTTGTACTATCAGCTTTTTATATTTATTAGCTCGTGCGGCTAACTGACTAATGCAACTAATGGCCATGCAATCAACGGTGAGCTGGGACCTTTGGAGAACGTTGAGCTTAGTCATTATAAAATGGACGTGTTACCTCTCTCTGGCACTGGCTCACGCAATCCTGTTCCTATCTGGACTTCACTGGTGGATGAGAATATACCAGGAATCTCAGCTATACAGCGTAGGGTCAACTGACCATTGGAGTAATGAGACGGCTGAATCGTAAGGGTTAAATTGCTGGATTGCAACCCTGTGTCCGTCTGAGAGCCACCGTTGCCGTTATCGAGCTTGCGCGGCTTTGACATCGACGAGCCGACCTGAAAAGTAATTCAGCACAAATATTTTTAGAGGTTAGGTACGTTTTTGGTTTCACTCTGTATTGGAAAGAAAACTGTTAGAAAGGAGCTGGGTGTAGTGGCTCGAGGAAGTGTAAATCTGCTTTTAGGGAAAATCGTTCATCCGTATAAAAACGGTAGTGGTGCTGGGCGGAAGTAGGGTGGTAGACACTAGGCAGGCATCCTTACCCCTCTATAAAGTAAATGGACAAAAGAGATGCTCTCCCTATCGATAAGAGGAGCGGCATTTTTTTTTTATTATTTACATCCCTGTATAAGTTGAAAAAATTTAACATACATTCTGAGACTGTGACTTCTGACCTCAGCCTGAATTTTCATCGTTTACGATATCACGACTTCTGATCCATTAGGAATATCAGGGCAGGAAAAATAGGGCGATCGAATCGCCCTCGTGCGTTACCCTTATTATTATGCACCTGGATCAAAGCGTAATTAGGGAGGGATGCACGAGTGAGTAAAGAAAAAATATTTAAAAAAAAAAGACGAGGCGTGACCCTCGTCCGGAGTCCTTTTGTCGCATTTCCAATTATATGAAAAATTCGAATCGGGCAAGACAACCTGACGGCGTCTTTTCTTTTCCGTAATAGAGCTAGGTTACTATAGCAACCAAAAACAATGGAACGAGAATCGGGGAAAAAGAAACAACGACAAGGAATAAGAAGAAGAGGAAGTATCTAAATTCAGACTCAAACCTCCTCTTCCACTTATCCAATCCTTCGTCCATTTTCGAAAAAAGATCCAGTTTCGCATCTCTCCAGATTCCCTTATTCTCGCTTAACTCAAGACCCCAATTCATCATTGAGCTTGTGCGTAAAATTCGAACAGACAGTCACGTACCACCTCCTGTCTCGAGTCATTTCCGGTAAATCGAAAAGAAGTAGGTTGAAGGCTACTTTCCCCAAGTTTTCACGGTTCAGTGAAAAAAAGGAGACCTAACCTTCTCTCACTTTTGAAAATGGCACCGATGCACGACCTTGGAGTACCATGGGAAATTTCCTTGAATAAAGTCAACCGACTCGCTGAAAGTCTCGAGTAAACCTCGCCGTAAGAACGGAAACGGCGTACGAAGAAGTTTCGGGGAATTTAAATTTCCCTTACCAAACACCTCGCCGGCAGCAGGATCCTGTAGAGCCTTCAGGGACCCCTGCCCAAGAGGGGATTATTAGAGACGACACTGTGACACCGACTACTCCACGTTGAGCCCAAACGACTAAGAACTTTATCTCCGGGCAGTTCAATTAGAGAAAACTAAGAAAACGATTCGGGCGCGCAAAGTCCAACCCTAGTATACGTATAGTTGAAGGTACTCCCGGAAACAAGTGACGGGATTACCAGCTCGGGACAATAGCTACACGAGCCACTCGTGTACCTCGAGAGACGATTGTCACCGATCCCCAGCATCCAGAAGGCTGGTTGGCACGTGCAGGAACGTCTGGAACAGGATCCATACCTACTTTTACAGAATTACATTGTTATCCTATATTGTACGAGAGACCCGTTACGTCCCTGGTAAATATTATGCGCTGCAGAAGCAGCAACCGGGAGAGACATGAAAACGGAGGTATATTCGAAGACGTAGTAAATAAAGTAGACAGGTAGAGTATAGGTAAAATAGGATATCGCCTTAACAACCGCTGCGGGAAGCCAAAGTGGATGGAAAATTTGTCCATGACGTACGTAAGTGCGAGCTTAACTCCGGGGTTGGTAGACGTTAGAGATACGTCGTAGCCACTCGTAAGACGCGGGCATTGTCATGGTTGGATGGTAATAGGGTGGCACTTTCGCCTGGCACCCTCGTACGAGGGAAATGGGTCTGTTCGCAACCCTTGGGCATTTATTTATTTCTCGGACTCTTCGAATAATTCATTTTTATGTATTTCGCCTGGGCAAGCACGCGCGCGCGCACACCGATACATCGTCCGCCAATGGAGGCGTAAGATCTTAACGTAGATGTAAAGTTTTTAAGAGAAAAAGAGGCATCATTGAAGAATACCCATCTTCATCCCGCACTTATATTTTCTTTTATACTCTCCCTTTATCCTCGCCATTCCGTATAAACGTTCCTGACGCAGCTACGGCTACCGGCGTCCAAGTTAGCGTTGCTTGTGAAATTACATTATAAAGAGGTACGACGGTCGATTTCAGAGGCGTCGGTATTACGTCAAGCAGCGTCTACTGTACGAGGACAGTAGTCGAAGGTAATTTCTGGTGAGCTACCTGGTCAAGATAAGGACCATCGATGTGCACTACCATCTTTTTTTGTTCATTATTCACCTTCAACGTATTTAACTGCGGCCTCGTTTCACAGTGCCTTAATTCTATCTCTATTGTCATAAGAGTACGCGACTCTTTTGTTTCGTATCCTTGGAAGTACGGTATGCATTGAAATCCCGTAACGAATGCACGTGTACTTATGGATATCAGGTAACACGAGGTCGTTCATCCTTTTTCCGATCGCCATTTTTTTCCCCACACTCGCATCGGACGAGGTATTTAAGCGTAGGCAGGAACTGCATAAAAGGGGTCTGCTCGGTATATGGAACGTAAAAGAAAGATTCACAATACCGAGAAAGCATTCCATGTAGGAAAAAAAGGATCGTCCATGACTAGGGGGCAGGAGGGG